GAAATCTGTAATATGATCTTTCTTTAATCATGATGTGTATGACCAGCAAAAGCCTTGTATCCCACCAAAATGTATCTTTAGTAAAATAAAAAAAAAAGGCCAACAAAGTGATTTCCATCAAGCATAAGGATGTATTGCACATATCGAATTGCACAGACCCAGCAAAATGGTATATTGTATTGTAATCTGCTGGATGATACTGCTGCTATATAAGATGCACAAGGGATAGCATTGTTATAAAAATAGATTGTGTAAGTTTGTCAGATAGGCTACTTAAAGCCTTACTTCTTTCGCTTCATTTTCTTTATCATTTTTGCAAAGTTACATTTCACCACTATGGTCTGAACTCTGTAACAGCTTTGTAAAAACTTAATGTCAACAGAAAAACTGATGATTTTTATAGAATTCTCTGTAATTATGCATTGGGAGGCTGATAACTGGAAAAACGTAACATCAGCTACAAAAATAAACTAATTACAAAGAAAAGGATTACAGATCCAGCATGACTGCAGGAAACACAAACAATTAAAAATGTACTTATTAAGGTAGTTTGGAGTCGAGTCTTGCTGTGTCCAGAATAGATCAGCTCTGTCTGCCTAATGATCTATGATTGAAGCTGGCAAAAAATGAGTTTGGCTTGTTACAGCACCGGTGCATCGCCTGCCCATTAATACTTGTTCACCCATAAATGTCTAATTACATACATGGATTTCCAGCACATCGGAGTCCCATAAACACTTGAAAAAATCACTTTGAAATGCTCTCTTTCTGGACATAAAACATGATAAGCGATACTCAGGGGGACAATGTGCATTGCATCACAACCCAGCACCTGGAATAATAGCCACTTGTCACATTTTCTGCCCCTGGAAGGGTCTACATAACATTCTCTCTGCCTGGTGATCTTGTTAATCTATTATTTAAAGTTATTTAACATACAAAAGGTTATCCTGCTTGAGTCCTGAAACAGAGGGAAACTGTCAATTGTATGCCAGCATCTTGACACTCATCAAAAAGCTGAATTCCAGGTATAGATTTTATATCATAGCTACATACAGAGGCGTAGCTTGAAGCTTGTGGGCCTTGATGCAAAAGGTTATTTGGGGCCCCCCACTACCGCCACCGCTTCCACTGCATGATTGCCCCATCACCCTGTGCAGGTGAAACTGGAAACTCAGGCCTGGGTGGGCCCCTGCCCTCGGACTTTACTGAACTACCTACGTTGGGTAACATTATTATTTATTAATTACAGGTACTTATATAGCGCCGTCAATTTACGCAGCGCTTTACATATATATTGTACATTCATATCAGTCCCTAACCCTCAAGGAGCATACAATCTAAGGTCCCTAAATTACATTCATACATGCTAGGGCCAATTTAGAAAGGAGCCAATTATCCTACCAGCATGTCCTTGGAGTGTGGGAGAACACTGGAGTACCCAGAGGAAACCCACGCAGGCACAGGGAGAACATGCAAACTCCAGGCAGGTGGTGCAGTGGTTTTGATTTGAACCAACGACCCTAGTACTGCCAGGTGGAAGTGCTAACCATTTAGCACTTGTAAAACAATGGTAGACAACCTTTGAGAGGTGGAGATCTACCTGAACAACATGAAAGAAATCAAAGGCCATCGGGGCTTGGCATCTTTTTTTTTTTTTAGAAATTAACTAGCAAGGCCTAACTAAACAGTACAGAAAATTTTGAAAAACACAATAAAACAAATGTTGCTGTACAAACTTAGCTTGAAGTTTGGTTCACACTGTGTGGGCTGATTGCGGGTACTGGAATCACAACTGTTCCCACAGGCAAATAGTGCTTCTCTTACGAGATGTGCGGGCTGCCATTCATTTTGCCATTCATTCTCAGCCCATATCACGTTTGTGGGTGCGTCAACCAGAGGAAATCGTTTTCTTGCAGCCGCGTTTTTAAAAAGGTACATGCAGCTTTTCCCTGCAGGAAATGCAGGCACAGCAGCCCATTCAAATGAATGGGCTGCCGTGCCCAAGCAAATGCAGGACACACAGCCCGCAATAGTGTGAACCGAGCCTAAAAGTAGAAAGATTTAGTCAGTTGAGCAGTGGACAGTGTCAGTAGGGCAGTGGACTGTGTGTGTGTAGACAGTGTCTGTAGGGAAATGGACGGTGTCAGTAGGGCAATGGATAGTGTCAGTAGAGCAGTGGATGGTGTCAATGGAGCAGTGGACATGTCAGTAGGGCAGAGGTTGGTGTCAAAAGCGTAGTGGTTGATTTCAGTCAGTAGAGCAGTTGACGTGTCAGTAGGGCAGAGGATGGTGTCAATAGAGCAGTGGATGGTGTCAGTAGTTTTTTATTTTTATTATTTTTTTTACACTTTTTTAAATTATTGTTTACAATGTATTTTTTAAATTATGTTTAAAATTTTTTTAGCAGCTCTGTTGGGGGGCTTTGGTGAAATATCAGGGGTCTTATCAGTCCCTATCAGTCCCTCGGCTGCACTGGACTGTCAATGAATGGGAAGTGCTCTGTGCTGAGCGGCTACCTATTCATTCAAAAACTGAAGCATAGTAAACACAGGTTACTATGCTTCAGCACAAATGAACACAGTCAGTGATCAGTACTGATCACTGACTGTGTTCATTAAGAAAAGGAAGGGGCCATTAAATAATATATTTACAGGCCCCTTTCACTGCTCTCCATCCTGCAATAGATCTCCCACAACAGCCAGCGAGAGCGGGGTGAGCAGGAAGCACTGTGAAGGGGACCAGAGGAGCACACAGGGGGGCCTGGGCTGCAGAAGGAATAGGAACAGGAGGGGTAGCGGGGATAGCATTTAGTACACCAGATCAGCTGTATTTTCTTTCAGCTGCTGAAATCCTGCTTTTCCTCCCCCGCTTCCTAAAGGCATTCAGCTGCTGCAGGAAAATAGAGCTGGTTAGGTCTTGTAAATGCTGCCCTCCCCCTTTTGTCCCTGTTCTTCTTGCTGCCTGTGCCCCATGGTGCATGCATGGGGTCACCATTGCAATTTTTGTGACCTCTATTTCTACACCCATGGTTACATAGGTCCAGCTTGGAACAATGTAAGTATACATTTTCCATACCTGCGGGACTGCAGTGGAAGCAGGGAATCAAAGTAGTTGTTGCAGCTGACATCACATCATGGTGTCAACCACCTCTCCTCTTCATCTCATCCAATCAGAGAAAGCCTTGAATTAATTGAGAAGTGCAAGGTGCTCTGCAAATGGCACCTGTGCAGAGCAAGCAACCCTCTGTTGTTACTATGCAGTAGAGCAGCTGCTCAACACAGGACCCTGAAGACTGCAGCGATCACAGTAGTGATTTTCCACATCTTCAGCCGTCCCACAAGTATGGCAAAAGCATACTTATATTGATCCAAGCTGGACCAATGTAACTATCCAATAAAATCCAAACCTGGAGTTCAGCTTTAAAGGAAAAGTAGGGCCAAAGCTCTTTTGGTCCTTCCTTTCCTGTGAACACAGGAGTGCAGAATGAAGTATTTTCAGTTGGCAACGGGCTGAAGTCACAGAGCCAGACCAGACTCTGGAAAGATCCAGAATTTAATATCGGGATCCACCCAGATGACTGACAGGTAGCTGGGAGCCTGAGCCAGCTGTTCCAACCCCCTCCACAGTCTGGCACTCCAGTGAGTGCTGGAGGGACAGAGCAGAGAGCCAGTAACTGACAGTTACCACTTTCTGCTCACTGAAGACTGAGAACTGAACAGCAGTGTTTAATTGCTCAGTTTTTGGCCTTAGAGGAGATGGCAGAGTATGATTTTTTTTTTTAAGAATCCCGAAGTTCTCGTTTAACAGTAAACCACAAAAATACTGAAAATCCTAAACTGAATCATATTTATTTCTCATGACGTCTAATTTTATATTCTGTCACAAAGATACTACTTTTGCCGTAAGGGGGAGGTTTGGAATCTTCAAGTTTTTTTATTGCTGTTACTTCCCTGTTTGAAATAGCAATAAAACACATTAGTCTATGCCATTTTTTTAATTGCTGTTTTTGTTTTTCACTTCTTCCCCTAGTAATAATAGTCACTGAAACAGGAAAAAAAGAAAAAGTTGTAAAAACTAAAGAGAAGTTCTACATCTTCCCCATTCAACACCTTAAAGGTCCACTCAGTTTTTCTGCCAATTAAGATTGCTCATCTCTCTGTGACTGCAGTAGCAAGATTGCTGCATATAAGTTCTCAAACCTAAGCATATTCTATGTCGTTAAGTGTGGCCCTATGAGGTAGATATTTCAACACAGTAGCATGACTCCCTCTGCTGCACAGGGGAGAGAGAGACTCATTGTGAAGTACAAATGTTAACTTTGTGGGTGGGAGATTTTGCTACTACAGTCCTCAAAACATACCAGAAGCCAGTTCGTGAGTCAGTCCATTAACATCTAAGAATCATGCAAATATCCATTTTGGCTGAACTCAGATATATCCGCAGACAGTTTATTTTTCCTTTCTTTTTTATTTATTTAAAAAAGCTAGATATTAAAGAAAAACACCTATCAAAATAAAAAAAAATTTTTTTTAGCAAATACAAAATAATGAAAGGGAAAAAATGTTCTAGCTATTTTTTTCACAACCCATGAGAACTCTTAAAGCCTCTGTAAATCATTAGTTATTGCCGTGCATTGCATATTAATGTGAATCTATTGCCAAAACGTATATTTCTTTTTTTCGTTATTGGATAGAGAAGGGAAAGGTAAAAAAATCCTGTGAAGTTTTTATTGCTGGGGGATGTTAGGGAAGAAAGTGCCTCTTCACTGATAAAGCCCAGAAAGTTTCATTTTTATTCAAACTGAAAAAGCCAAAGCATTTCAGGGGCTACAAGGGGCCACGTTCATCACAGCTGAAAAACCAAAGACTTGGCTGAGTGATCAGATTTTTAAATGTATGATAAGATTTTATTTCTCACAATTTGTTTGGATTTTTTTGCAGGTGAGAAGCCATATAAATGCTCTTGGGAAGGGTGTGACTGGCGTTTTGCTAGGAGTGATGAGCTTACGAGGCACTACAGAAAACACACAGGGGCAAAGCCATTTAAATGCAACCACTGTGAAAGGTAAGCTATTGTTACATCATTATGTAAATGGAAACCATATTCTGGGGGTAGTCAACCTTGGTAGTCCAGCTGTGGTAAAACTACAAATCCTGTCAGGCCTCTAAGAGTTATACCTGTGACTCTCTGTGAGCAACATCCATGATGGGTGACTGAGACACAAAATATTTTGCATAGACCAGTACCGCTCTTTGCACCCATGCCTAGCATACTATACCATCTGATGCACATATAGATCCACGAATACTTGATGGTGGAATTTCCCGCAGGCTTATACATACCAGGGGCGGACTGACAACTCATGGGGCCCCCGGGCAATGGGGGATCATGGGGCCCCTGTGTCCTCGCCCACACTCAAACCACACCCAAAAAAGCCTATGAAAGGTACCAGGGGCATCTAATGGGCCCCCTAATGACCCCGGGCCCTCGGGCAGTGCCCGAGTGCACAAATGGTCAGTCCGCCCCTGATACATACCTATGAGGGGCATTACTTTATGACATGCTTAATGTCACGAGCTAACTTATGAATTACTATATGCTCATTTCTGCCCTACTGTGAACCGGGCTCATCATAGTACCATTAATGGGAGACAATGTTTTAAACCATCGTTTTTTTAGAAATTGATTTACCTCTAATACCAAACAGTATGTGTTTGCATGTGTTCCTGAAGAAGTAAGTGTTTCTGAAATGTGTTGAGCTTTTTATGTGTTATATATAAACAGGAACTGAATGTATATGTAAAGTGTATGTTGCTGTATCACATGAATGTGGTCACTACTGTGTCCTTTTTTAAATTGTAAAAAAAATTTAGAATTTTATACTATTTTTCTTTTCGTTCACCTTCTGTGGTTACCTTCCATCTTATGTATGCCCTTAAAAGGTCGAAAATAGTTATTTGATGTGTATTGGTTGGATGTTTGCATATAAGCATGACACCTTCCTCCATTATTGAAAAATCACTCTGGCTGTCAAAGTTGTGCAATCCTTCACAAACTTGTAGTTCCATAACAGTTGGAGTGCCAAAGTTTGCCTATCCCTACCATAGTCTTTCTTAAATATTTTTAGATATGCATGTGAATATTTAACCAATTGCTGACCGCCTCTGTACATCAGCAAGACAGCTCGGCTGCACTGGATCATGAACCACGTATTTGGTACTGATCCGTCTGTGCTGTGATTCGTTACAGCACAAGCTGATCAGCTGTCCCAACCAATGATTGACTGCCTGGACCCGCTGATCTGCTCAATAATTCACGGGACACAGCTCTGTGATAATAAATAACACAGAGCTGTGTTCACTGACAGGCGATCCTGCTGTTTTTTTTCATTCCTTGCTAAAAATTTTATGAAGAATTTTTTTTTTATTGGGATATATTTCATAGCAAAAAGTAAAAAATATTGTTTTTTTTTTTTAAAATGTTCAGTATTTTTCCATTTATATAATAAAAAATAAAAAATCCACCGATAATCAAATACCACCAAAAGAAAGCTCTATTTGTGTAAAATAAATTATATAAATTTCATTTGGGTACAGAATTGCATGACTGTGATTTGTCAGTTAAAGCAGCGCAGTGCCGCATAGTAAAAAATGGCCTGGTCAGGAAGGGGGTAAAACCAATAGTTAAGAGATCCAGCCTCTGCATTTGTCTTGGGAGCCACTGTCACCAGAAAAGAAATTGAGGAGGACACTCATCCCAAACTGTTTAGGGGGAGTTTACCTCCTTTGGAGAGATTACTTCTGACTTCCTGTAGTGTCTACAGAACAGGAAGTGAAGAAAAATCTCTGGATTGGGACATGCTCAGCAAAATAGTGACATAGGGTTTATCCATTTTTTATTTAAAGTTAGATATATTGTATTGTTAATGCTTGAAAAAATTGTTTCTGTGTATATTGTGTCTGTGTATAATGTTCTGTTGTTGCATCTCTGCTCTTCTGAGGTTTCTAACAAACTCAAAATTGGTTTTACTCTAGAATGTGGGTAGGCAGCCTCAGTACTCCACCACAAATGCCATGATTCTGAAAGCCAAAGCATGACTCCCAGATGGAGAGGCATGATGTGATTTCCATTCATTTTGTCCTCAATCCTGACCAGTTTCCCAGTTCTTGCCAAAGAAAAGCCTTCCCAGGTGATACTTTCATCATGTATGACCTTGGGAATTTAATTCTTCAGGTCTTCAGCCTTACATAGCTTTTTGCGCTACAAATGCAGTATGTTGATTTTTTAGGCTTACTTCCCATCAGTCTTCTATAAAGCTCAGCTTTAATCCATGGATGTTTTCTTTTTATCATAGTATAGATCTCTCTAGTTCCTTCAGAGTTACGATAAGTCTTTTGGTTGCTTCTCAAACGGATGACCTCATAATGAGGTGATTTACTAAAATTGGTGCACTCGGAATCTGGTGCAGCTGTACATGGTAACCACTCAGCTTCTAACTTCAGCTTGTTCAATTAAGCTTTGGCAATAAAGCCTGGAAGCTGATTGGTTTCTATGGAGAGCTGCACCAGATTTTGCACTCTTCAGTTTTAATAAACAACCCCCACTGGGTTTTGGTGATTAGTTTTCTATAGGTTGTGATTGTTGTACAGTTTACATTTTTTAATGATGAATTGACCAGTGCTGTAGGGGTATGACAACAGATTAGAATCTTTTTTTTTTTTTTATAATCAACTTTGATTAGTGCTTCTCTAGTACTTTATCTTAAATTTGTTTTGATTGCATACTGGTCATTATGATGGTGTCTATTAAGATATGTTTCCTAATAAAGTCTGAACCTTCCAGAAACATGTATTTATTTAGAGAACAGTTGACATTTAGGGCTTGTTTACATGAATTAAATTCTATATAATTTTCAAGATGTGGTAAAGCAGCAGTTGCTATGCATTCAGGAGCTGATACTGTCATCTCCTAAATGCCAATTTTTTTTCAGGCAAAGTTTTCATGCTCCATGTGGCCAAATTAGGTCAATGATGTCATGAGCATCCCTGCCCATTTTTGTATGTCAGCTGTGGGTTGGGGAAACCTTCGCCCACAGCCCTGAACCCAGTTTAGAACAAACACAAGCTCATGGTTTATAAATATTTCCTTAAATCCTTGGTGGAATCCATTTAAAATGGTATTAAACCCAAAAGCAAATATATATTATAATTATAATATATGTGATGACTGCATTCATTTTCTTTTTCAGTCTTTCTTCTATTTCATCTGGTGATCCAGCCAGTAAGTCTGTTGTTTTTCAAAAGAACAAGCTCTCTTACAGATGCTCCCTGTGCTCCTTCATACAGAGCGGAGGGGCTCTGATACAGTAGTTTTGTTACTGGCCAGATCACCAGGGGAAAACAGAGGGAAAAAAAGTCAATTAAAAAGAAAACTGATGCAGCCATTACATCTAATGATTGGTAAGCTGCAATATATTCCCTTTTGGATTTTGGGTTTACTATCACCTGAAGTAATTACTGTATGTTAGTGAGGCAGTTGAATTTTCCAATACTTTGTTAAGGGGTTTCACAACAAAAAGGTGAATATTTATGCAATCAAGACTTTTCTTTTTTTAATTTGAAAAACATTTGGAAGCAATGCAGATTTTTTCTCATTTTGACATAATGAGATATTTTTAATTGTGATGAATAGTGACATATCATAATTTAATATATGTTTTAAATCCAGTTTGTAATACTACAGAATGTAGAAAAGGGTATGAATTATTACGTAAGGCACTGCACATAGAGAAGCAAACAGCTATACTAGCAAATTATATTTGCAGGCTTTACATTCTACTTCATAATACTTATTGATTGTGTTTCCCTGCTGCTGTCTCTCAGTGCAAGTCTGTGGGTCAGGTCTATCCTGAGAAAAAACAATAGACGTTCATTTGTACTATTTCAGCAGTCATTGTGGATGGCTGTAAGTGGCAGATATATTCCCAGGAAATATTTCCAGGGATGTATCTTCCCGTCCTTGAACAAATTGGAGTATTAGGGCAGTCATATATGGATTGAAATTCAGCCGGTTCAGCAGGAACCGGACAAATTTCAATCCATGAATGGGCAGGCTGGCTGTACAGACGTCAATCTACCAATTGACTCCTGTACAACCAGCCTGTTGGGTTTTTCCCAAACAATAAGTGCTGTCAGGTATAGCCAGCAACGCTGATCAGTGTATTCTCATGGCGGAGATGTCTCCCCACTGTCAGAATATAAAGCCACGGCGGGAGTGATTCCCCCATCCGCCACAAATGTGTGGATCTGAAAATCAGATCATTTTTCTTTCAGTCTGCTGGCTAATAAAAAAAAAATATTATTGTATAGCCAGCTTTAGGATCAACCACGTTTCTTATCTAATGTGTCTAATGTTTAAAAACTGGAGAATCACTTGCTGGTAATATTTATGTCTAGCCTACGCAGAGTATGCTAATAATTGCCCTGATGGAGCATTTACACATGTGCACGGATGGAGGGAGCATTTACACATGTGCACATGAAATAACCAGTAATATTAAACAATGAACAGATTTTTAACCATCCAGTAATTAGAAACATGGACATTGTATCAAAAACCAAAATATCTTATCAAAAATATGTACATGAAAAATGGTTGTTCACCACTGTTCACATGTATCTGCAAATCCAGTGGTTACATGTGGCTAGGGATAGATGACCTGCCCTGGACACAATGGTGTAGATTTACTAAAACTGGTGCACTCCAAATCTGGTGCAGCTATGCATAGTAGCCAATCAGCTTCTAACTTCAACTTTTTTCTATTACGTTTGGAAATAAAACCTGGAAGTTGATTGGTTTGTATGCAGAGTTGCACCAGATTTTGTACTCTCCAGTTTTTGTAAATAACCCCCAATCTGTCCACGTCAAGAGCCAGTCATTTGTGTCTAGCTACAGTTAACCACTAGATTTGCAATTACGTGTGGAAGTCCAGAGAGTTCTGTGGCTCCTGTCAGCCTGTCATTGTTTTGCTCAGGTTTCCAAGCTCCAGCTGTCTGCTGATTCTTGCTGCAGAAATCCAATTACTGGACCTTATAGAACATGTGAATAGGTCCTTGGTGTGGTAAAGCGCATCTAAACCTGATAAACAGTTTAACCTATTTTCAGACAT